TCAGGCATTAAAAAGTGGAATCAAGAATCTTCACTACGATGGGAACCAGGTAAAAGAGTTGCTGGGAATTCTTTTCCATGGAGCAGAATCTTTGTTACTGTTCACTCAGAATGTACTTCAAGTTGCTGTGTACCACTTGAGAAATGAGAGCACAGAATCTCCACAGCCAGTCGAGTTATTTCGTATCTCAAAGTCATGCAGCAGGGTAGTGCACCAACTCCAAAATGAAGTTTCATTGTCAAACTCTGTGCAGCAGTTGCCAAGTGAAGAACAAGAGTTTGTGAAGCAAAGCAGTGTTTTGAAAGTATCCTCGTCTTTTATGGAAAACCAAATGAATCAAAACTTCAGTTCTCCGAGTAGAGTGTTAATGAAGTCTTCCATGATACTTAACTGTCAGTGTGCCTTATCAGATCAGGGTAAAGAGTATTTAGCTGCTTTTGCTGCCTCAGRAGGGRCTCAAGTTTCATGGCTGGTTACGTCTTGTATGGTAAAAGGAGAAGCTTTGGAAATGGCATCAAGGAACAAAGGCTTACTTCCTACAGCAGGAGTAGCAGCGAAGCTTACAGAAGTGCACGCAGGAAACTATGTGCCTGTTCCAATAACTAAGCCTGTCGACCATGGGGGTAATTACGAGAATAATGGTAGTGTGTTTTGCTTCCTTCCATTACCCATCCACAGTGGTCTTCCAGTCCATATCAACGGTTGCTTTGCTGTCAGTGACAACAGACGTTATCTACGTGAAAGAACAGAAGAAGACAAGACAGACCAAGGTGCRGTATGGAACGATGTTCTTATGAGGGAAGTWGTYTGTCAGACATACATCAGCATGCTGGATGACATGAAAGACTTGTCATCGAGCAATGGATACATATTTCATTCGTTGTGGCCAAGATGCTCTRATGTACAAACAAACTGCCATGGGATCGCTTCCCGATTCTACAGTTCATTATTTTATGAACATCCAGAGCTGTTTTCAGATGGTCATGAATGGACCAGTATGCAGAATGTCGTGTTTTTGGAGCCTGCATTTAGAAGGGTGCAACCGATTGGGCAGGTCGCATTTGACCTATTCAAGACCAGTTTGGAAGGTACAAATACCATTGTAGTTGACCTGCCTGAAGATATATCGAGATCCTTTGAAAGATATGAACTACAAAATGGGATACAAAAGATGTGTTACAACAAAGAACGTTTTTTCAGTGAAGTGTTCTTTCCCTACATTGATTCAATAGGCGCAGATTCAAGAAACGAACTCGTTCTCTACGCTCTTGACGACACTTCAGAGGTACTGAGGAAACTTGTTGGAAGCCATCGTTGTATTCCTTCTTCACCATTAGGGCGTCAACTAAAGTACCCTAAAGAACTTCTTCATCACCGTGGCAAAGCGGCGCAACTGTTCAGCCCTGAAGACGGGAGATTTCCTTATGGGGATAAGTTTACTTCGGAGGAACGTTTAGTGACGTTAAAGAGATTAGGTATGCGAGATAATGACCTTGAGTGGGACGAAGTAATAGAAAGAGCCGAGAGCGTCAAAAGTCTTGTTCACTACCATCAAGCTTTGGAAAGAACGAAGCTGATTCTTGTCTTCATTGATAGGAAACTGGATAACGATCATAAGGTTGACAATGATGTTCAGACGAGACTGCAACGAGTTCAGTTCCTTCCGATAATGAAAAAACCAGAAGCCTTTCCTTTCAAATGGAGGGGAGACGAATATCAAATCAACACTTTTCTATCTGCAGCAGAACTTTACCCGAGAGAGGTGAAGTATTTGGCCAGTGTGTGTGTACCGATCCTGGATGACTCTAAAAGTGGATGTGGCCACCTTAACCGGAAAGTTGGAAATATTTTGTCCATGACTAATAAGACAGCTTCTCTTGATCAAGTCAAGATGCAGCTGAAAAGTGCAGTAGCAGCGGACGAAGCTTTTCGAAACACCAACAGCTTCGATGAACTCAAGAAAGGTTTAGAGAAAATGTATGACTACCTTCAATGCAGTCCCAGGGAAGTAAAGGAAGACATCGTGGACTTCCTACAACCACTTGAGTTCATTCTCGTCGAGAAGCACTTTCTTTCATGTGAACAAGTTGCATTTTCTTCAGAAATCCAATTTCCGCCATATCTATGCCCAATGACTGAAAGCTATCTGAAATTTCGTGAATTGTTTATGCTCGCTGGGGTTCGAGAATCGTTTGAGGCCCATGATTACATCAAGACACTTCAAAAGGTGAAACATAAACATGAAGAGAATCCAGTTACAAAAGTAGAGCGCGATAAGGTGGTAACTGTTTCAAAATTGCTGGCAGCTGACATGAAAAAGAAGGGTCCGGAGGTCAAAGCAGTTGAAGCGGTAGAGAAGAATGGAACTATTTTCCTACCTGATTCAAAAGGAATTATGAAACCGTCAACAGATGTATGTGTGAAAGACTGCCATTGGATGCCCGACGAGGAAGGAGTCCTTTATGGACATGAAGATATACCACCAAAGGATTGCATCACACTCGGAGCGAAGACAAGAAGACAGGAAACACTTAGCAAGCACACATTTGGCATTCCATTTGGACAGAAAGAGAAGCTTACCAATAGGCTTAAGCGGATACTAGACGGATATCCAGGCGATGAATCAATCATGAAAGAACTTCTCCAGAATGCAGACGATGCTAAGGCCAAAAAAGTCTGTTTTATCAATGATCCTCGGCAACATCCAGATGAGAGAGTCTTTGAAGAGTGCTGGAAGCCCCTCCAAGGGCCTGCCTTGTGCGTTTACAACGACGCACCATTTACAAAGAGTGACGTCGAGGGAATACAAAAACTTGGCGAAGGAAGTAAAGGCGACGATCCAAACAAAACTGGTCAGTATGGTGTGGGATTCAATGCAGTGTATCATCTGACCGATGCGCCAACTTTTGTTTCTCAAGGAGAAGAGATTGGGGAAGTAATGTGCGTGTTTGACCCGAATCTGAAGTTCGCCCCTGGTGCAGATGAGTCAAACCCAGGAATTATGTATAAAGATCTTCCTGCACTGAGAGAAAGGTTTACTGATGTATTTCCTTGCTACAATCTTGGCAAATGCTTCCCTTTAACAAATGCCACAATGTTCCGGTTCCCGCTTCGAAATGAAGACATGGCTACCACGTCCAAGATAAGTAGCAAGGCGATGACAGTCCAAAAGTTGGAAGATCTGCTGAATGATTTCAAGGAAGAGCTTCTTCAGGTTCTCCTATTCGTTAACAACGTCGAGGAGATTTCCATTTATAAAATTGACCAGAAAAATGGAAAGCTGAATGAGTCTTACCGTGTTCAGTCGTCGCTGTCTTCAGACGACGAAAAGAAGCGAAAAGAATTTGCTGATCGTGTCAGTGAAATTGGAAAACGTTTACAGAGTGGAGAAATGTCTATTGCCGAGATTCCTGTGCATCAAGTGTCCTATGTCGTTAAGCTAGAAGACAGCAAAGGTTTGAATCAAAAGTGGTTTGTTGTTCAGAAAATTGGCTTTGATCAAAAAGTGAAAATTCCAGGCAATATTCAAGAAGCATTTGAAAGAGGAGATCTTGGTCTGTTACCACGTGGTGGAGTGGCATCGTTGATCAGTTCTTCAAAGGATCACAAAGATACTCAGGGAAAAGCCTTTTGTTTTCTTCCCCTTACTTTCAAAACCGGTCTTCCAGTTCACATCAATGGACATTTTGCTCTAAACCACGAGGATCGTAGAAATCTCTGGCGAGATAACAGACGTGATGATTACAGGAGTAACTGGAATGATGCATTACTACGACAAGTGGTTGCACAATGCTACGTAACCTTACTAGATGAGGTGAGGCAGCATATATCCTTGCCGAGAAACGCTGATGGAAAGACATTCATTAATGGTGACCGAAATAATGGAGAATGTGTTCTTTCAAACTACTTCAAGTACTTTCCATCGTTTGCTGTCAAAGAAGAGTATTGGAAAACTCTGACAAGAGAAGTGTACCGCTACATGAATGCAGGAAGTTTGCGTCTTCTTCCAGTGCTACGCGAAGAAAGCTTTGAAGGAAATCAACACCAAGATAGTGTTTGTATTGAGTGGTTGCCACCAACAGGACATGGACGCGACCAAGCTTTCTTTGGTAGTTTATTAGATAAACTACCATCAAACTACGATTCACTTGACAAAGAACTGCAATTCAAAGCTGTGAAAGACTCTAAGAGACTGAGAGACACTCTCCTCGCCTTGGGTATCAATTTGCTTTTTACACCGGATGCTATCGACGTTTACGACCGTTTTATCACGGCAAGCGTGGATGTGAGTCCCATAACTCCAAGAGCTGTTATTGATTTCTTTTCAACTTACAACTCTTCTGATCAATTGTGTGACGTAGGAAATCTGCCTTTGCCAATTTCAAAGACCCCATTCAGGAACATGGGTAACTTGCTTAGGATTCTAAAGTACTGCAAACAAGATGAAGATTTTTTCCAAAGATTTGATGGTCTTCCTCTACTGCTTACTCAAGATGAACATCTCCGAGTCTTCAGCCAATCACACAAAGTCTTCCTTAGTGGCTACTGTGAAATACTTCCTAGTTGTTCTTCAATGTTTGTGCACCAAAAGCTTTTCAATGATGTGTTTTATTGTAATCGGGAAGGCAAACCGAATGTGTCTCCAGTTTTCAAAGCATTTGACATCAAGGCTTTTGCAAATCTTCTTCCAAATGAAATGGACGAGAACCATTACAGAACGACGGGCAGTGCTGTGATTTGGAATCCAGAGAATAAACACCACCAGATTCCAGGCAAACAATGGTTATGGCATGTGTGGAGGTTCTTTTCGAATTATATCGAGAAAGAAATCAAAAGTTACGATGATAAACAAAGCAGTACAAGGAAATATCCTGAGGATTGTCTTGAGAAAATAAAGTTGCAACAAGTCTATAAACTGCAAGACAAAGAGGAAAGGAGGCGTATTACACAAGAGGCGTTAGAAACTGTGAAAGAATGGTGCCTTTTACCAGCATTTGAAGCTAAGTCACGCGTACAGCCAGTCAGTGTCAAGCACATTTGCTTTCCCATAGGCATGTCTAACGTCCGCACAGTCAGTGTCAAGCACATCCTCCTCCCCATAGGCATGTCTAACACTGTGATTGATTTAGAAAGTTCAACCGGTTTTGAATTAAAGGAAACATTGAAGAAAATTATTCTTCCTCAACTAAACTGCGGCTTGATCGATGGTGAATCTAGGTCTAGGTACAGTATGGCACCTTCTAAAACGGCAAAACGACTTGTGGCATCTCTTGAAGACCCAAAATCAGTTCTTACTGTACTTTTGAAGAAAATGAGTTTTGATCCTAAGTCATTTAAGGCCTTTGGCGCCTTTGATTGTCTCCATGTGCTAGGATATTTTAATAATCACCTTACCAAGTTGGAATCCACGACTGCCGAAGAACTGGAAAGGTTGCCTCTTTACAAAACCATTCACGATAAAATCATCAGTATCAGCGGAAAGCAAGCATATGTTCTCTCGTCAAGAATTCCAAAGGACGACATGCACATATGGCAAGAAAAGTCAGGAATCGTTTTTCTCAAAGAGAGTAAGAGTTTGGACAAGCTGTATGAATTCCTTCAATGTCACTCTAAAGATGAGGTGAATGTTTACTGTGACATCATCTTCGAGAAGTTTGAGGATATGAGCGAAGAAGCACGAAAAAAGCACGTGACATTTGTCTGCGAGTTATTGCATGAGCTAGAACTGGCAAGTACTTCGATTTCAAGGGATGAGAAAATAAAGAAAAAAGAAAAACTGGCAAAACTCAGTCAAGCGCTCTTCCAAATGAAGTTTATTACAGCACAAGATGGGGCTTTAAAAACAGCATCGTCCTTTTATGATCCATCAAACAAAGTTTTTGTTGCAATGTTTAAAAACAATCAAGAGATGTTTCCACCAGAACCGTTTTGTGAGGCTGAATGGCTACCCTTTCTACGTCGGATAGGACTCATCTATGAAGTTAGTGATGCACAGTTCCTGAAATTTGCCAAAGAAGTTGAAATTGAAGCCAAAACAAGGCTAGGTGATGGAACGAGAAAGAAATCGGACGCTTTGATAACTTACCTCTTCGAATCTGAGAACATTGCAACCAGCAAGCTACTGGATGATGTTAAGGAAATATGTTTCATCTTTCCTTATGTCGTCGATCCTAGTCTGCAAGGCGTCCACGAGCAGTATGGCACGGGGAAAACTGGTTCGCYGTGTATTTGCTTTCAAGGCTCTGTAGCCTCCAAGAACCAATATATTACCTGGACAACTGCTAACCTCTTACCAAGAGATGTCAACCCAYTGTACTCTTACCATCATTTCAGTCCTAAATACGAGGAAGGAAGTCAGTTAAATGAATATCAGACTTACACAGAACAAGTTGCTCGACGACTAGGCATTTTTCAAAATCCAACTGTTGGTATGGTAGTCGATCACTGCATAAATATCTTCAATGTCTTTAACGCAAGAAACACTTCTGTAGGCGACGAGCAAACTACAAACAAAAAAAGTCTCGGAAAAACAATGGAAATAATGTCAAATATTTACGAGTACCTACAAGAAAACTACATTGGTAACGAACATCTAATAAGTATCCTTCAGAATATTCGTTGTGTTGTAGTAAAGGATGGCCAACAATTCGTTTATCCAAACCAAGTAGTCGTCGAATTCACCTCAGACCAGGAAATCCTTCCATACTTGTACAAGATTCCTTCAAAACTAACACCGTATGTCAAATTGTTTGAAAATCTGGGAACAACCACTGTTGTTACTTGTGCACAGTATGCAGAGGTTCTGAGAAGCATACACGTGGAGWCTGCTAACCAAAAACTGGATCCTAACCAGATATCCAATACCTTTAAGGCAACCAAAGGCCTTTTTGASAYAATTGCTAAAGACGACCAAGGAACACCCGCTGAAGGCTTAAAACTGTACTTGCCAGGAGTAATGCGAAATCCTGATAACCAAGCCCAGAATATGGTGTTTTTGAGAAGATCTACAGATATTTTGTACAATGATGCTCCTCATTTTAAAGAAAGAATTGAACATTTCAACAACTTAATCCTGGTCAAGCTCTCTGAATGTGGATTRAACGTTSCTAATGATGACTTGTTGTTGAAAAAACTTYCTSAATCCATTCGTCCTCGTATGCTTACGTCAGTGGTTCATGAARCATTRATGGACGGGGACSAGGMTGTTYCTTGTTCCAGTACAGCACAGGACCTCCGACAGGTTTTGAGATCAAGTGARTTTTGTYATGGAATGATACGCCTGATCAAACATGCTGACTWYAATAGTGATGTAGAGACCAGCACAGATATCCCTGCMTTGGTACAAGAAAGGTTGRGATGCATTCATGTGTACAGCGTTCCTAACCTTCGGACGACGCTTGTGTACAATGGTAGAGCAATACCTRGGAGTGAAGCARAYGTTTCTTGCTTCGAGGAAGAAACGGAAGAAGAGGGTGAAAAAGTGTGGAAGATATRCATCGAAAAGGAAGCTGATCTTCCTAAGTACGTTTCAGTGGTGGCTGAAATYATAGATAGAATAACGGGACATCTTCTGAAAACAATGCTGGTTCATCTTCCGACATTGCTGTCCTCACAGCCCTGCGAAATAAAGGAACTCTTGGATGGACTTAAGATTCGCGAGGACAACTCAGTGTTGAAAATTGAAGCAACTTGTCTTCCTACACCTGGCAGCTTCATTCATATTACAGACCATCACTTGCTGGTGGATGACTTCACAGTGTTCAGTCCTGGTGAGTACGTTGGTTATGAGCTAGATGATCCAAGTCTTCGAGGAGAAGATGGCACCCCAACCTACATCTATGCAATTGTCATC